CCCCAAAACCCCAAAACCCCAAAACCCCTTATTTCTAAAATATAATTGACATCTAGCAAAATTAATTATTTCTGCTTCGTTCAGAACTTGTTGTTAGTTTTATAAGTAGGCTTAGAGCCAGACTTCGAAACAGGCTTTGCCATAGATTTTGGAATAGTCTTTGGAGTTGTTCTAGAAGTGGATTTGCCCAATAACTTCATTGGTGAGGATCTATCCTTTTTACGAGACTTCTTGAGCTGCTTAGTGATATCTCACATTGTTTCTTTGTCTTTTTCTCTGAAATAATCCATTTTCCAAAGTTTGTATTTCCCTGCTGTTGCTGTATTAGATATGTTCTTCCCTTGTTGGTCACCCTCTTTCTTTGTATTGTTATCTAAAATAAGCCAAGTTAGTAATTTCTTGATTAAAATGTTTCAAATTGACAAAAAGAAGTATTTTCTTCTAGAAAATATTCTATTTAGCAATTTTTAATTTAACTTACTTTGATAAGGTGGTTTTAGCTTCTTAGGAAGGACAAAGTTAAAATCAATAGAGTCATTCTCTTCATCTTCCTGGTTATAACATCTTGCTCATCATGATCCTATTTTTAAACATTCTAAGCAATTTTCATCTTTGAATTTAAGTCCTTTTGTAGACATGAACTCTTGAACCAGAGTGAGCAAAGACATTGATTTATGCTTCACAACATTTAATGATTTAGAATCTTCTATTTTCAATTCTTCGTTCGATCAAGCTGTTGTAGGGAGTTTTTCAGATTCTTTGTCCTCTCAAATAGTAAGAGGAGTCACTGTTTCCTTTAAAATTTCAAAATGCTTTTCTAAGAAGCTGTGCTTTAAAGACCCTTCTTTAAGATTTTTAAAAACATGAGTTCTATTTTCTCATCCTCCAACATTAACTCCTGTAGAAAATCTGACTGCTTCAGCATTGCAGCATGGATACTCTCCAATATTTGAGCCATAAGTGAAAATAGGCTTTTCTGGGTGATAGGTTCAATGATCCTTATCAGCATAAGTGAATTTTTGATTGCACTGAGTTCATTCATCTGAATGAATTCTCCCCCAAATTTTCCAAAATGTTCGCCTCCATGACACATTGTTCTTCTTTAGGAAGTTGAAAAATTCTTCTATCTTCCAGTTGGAGTCAGGAAAATGGTTAGAGATTACTCTTCCTCTGTAATCAATGAAAATACCTGCTTTCGGACATGTCATCCATTTCGACTGTTCTTCAGTATATAGAATGTTGCAGTGGACTCACTTCAATATATTATTTGAATGTATTTTTAGCAATTCATCGAGTTTATAGTAATACAGCTTTGATTGAATGGCATCCCTGGGATCCTTGCATGAACTCAGTTGTTCGAGAGTGACAGAGCTAGCAAGTTTTTGGGATAAAAATTGGCTTAAGCAATTTAGATCAAAACGACCTGAAGCAATTGCTGAGAGATTTTCTATAATAAAACCTATTCATTCATCAATTAGCCTTCGAATGATCAAGAATTCCGCTGATATGAGAATTGGAATAACATTATGAGTTGTGAGCTTAGTATCACGATCATTTATATAGTTGATCAGCCACTCAAATATTGACACATCTCAATGAACACTAATGTCGACGTCTTCTGCTGAGTCTGTGCTTTTTAAATATTTTTCAAAGTATTTCATTTCTCGAAGTAACAAACTCTTCTTGATTTCGAAGTTTTTGTTAATCTTATTTCTTTCGTCTATGACTTTTATTTTAGATCAAAATCTGTCCTTGAATATTTCTGAAAGAGTGTTCTAAAAATTTAAGTAAAACTCTTTGCGTTAAGATTTATTCATGCTTTAATTGTTAGGGATTTGGCTCGAATTTAGGTGATACACAAAAATCTTGATTTTAAGAATGCCCTTATTCATCTGCAAGATGTGCTGAGAATATTCATAAGCAAGCATGGACTTTCTAATGTTTGTGTAGACATTCTTAAATGAAGTTTATTTTCAACTCAAAAAAGTGAAAGTGCTTATCAGCATACGAAAGAGTTCTGGATAGGATTGTTCATTAATCTATAATAAATTTTCTATTTTAAGTATCATCCTTAAGAATACTAAAATTGGCTTGGAAAATCTCATTTGTTAGAGAGAATGAAGCTTTCATTTAAAATATTCTCAGGTGCAAATATACTAAAAATTCATACATCTTTAAAACAAGAATTTTAGGTTTAGACTATTTTTGATGTTTAATGAACATGTATTATGTCTGTTGGTTCATTTCATTTTGGCTTAGAAACCCGACTGTTTGGTTTGGAAGTTTGCGATGGAATACCTTGTAACGATGGGGATTTTCCAACAAGAGGATCTAGCTTTGTATCTGCTCCATAACCTCTTTTGTAATATAAAAAGTTATTCATACTTTCTCTAATTTATATTATTAAAATTATTAAATATTCTTCCCAATTTTTTATAAAATTTGGGGTTTTGGGGTTTTGGGGTTTTGGGGTTTTGGGG